GGGGGGGGGGGCATTTTCGGAGCATTATAAAAATGCAGTGATGAAATTGCTGACAAATAACAAAAACGTAAGCCAATTAAATTTTTCATAAAAGCTTGATTTATATACTTTAAAGAAAAAGATACGTTTTTTTGAAACCAAACAAGTGGACATGACATTATGCATCACCCCCCCCTCATAAAGGAAGGGCCAGTGACATTCCGCAGCGTTAGACGATAGGGACTCGACCCAACACACACCCCAGGAGGGGCCTCATTCAAAGATACCATCCACGACTGCTCTAAAAAGACACCAAACTATGAAAATGGTATTAAAAAGTTGCTAAGGGAAGAAGAGCAAGCTAAATGTGAAGGGCCCATTTTGGAGTTTTGCAACCTGGGTGGCATGATGCGCTTGGGTGGCATTCTCGGGGAAAGGACCTAGATTTGGAACCCGGGTGGGACGAGCAAGGGATAGGAGGGGCCCGGAATCTGTACCCAGGAACGAGGCGTTTGACTAGTGCGGCCATGAGAAAAATGCACAGCCGCATTAACGCACAAAGAAAGAAAAAACGATCCACTTGTAAGCATCAGCTAAGCAGTTGAACCCGAAGGTAACAAGGTAACAACGAAACGGATTAACAGGTTAGCCATACATCAAAATCAAACGGCTAATCCCCCTGGGCCCCAATACCAGGCAACTCCGACGACTTTGACAGGCCGTTACATCAGGCACGGCTTCATTCAGCAGAAGAGCAAACTCGCGTTTCCGTCTGAGGTACGGAAGCAGCACGACAACGCAGCTTGTGGGCACCGTTCAGTGGGAACCTGGAAGCAGCTCTACGCAAATCTTCAAATTAGGGGTTGGGCAGTTAATCGTATTTTAATTTCAATTACAGTTTTGGCTTCCAAACGAAATCATGATGAATTATTGTGCCACATTTATTTTCGCAGCAATTCCCTGGTTTTGTCTCGTGTTATAAAACCGGGGCACCACTTCCAGCCCATTTATAGTTCTTCAGCCGAATTATATTTAGAGTTCAAGGAAATGTACTGTTAGGCAAATTTTTTTTTTTTAGGTTCAATAAATGCACATTTCCAAAGTCAGTGAACAACATTGTTAATCGTTATCTCAGCATTGACCAAAGTAACAGAGAAGCCCAACTTCAGGCCTGCACTGTCGAGCTCATAAGCTTATATGGACATGCCACCCTCACCACATGGTCCCCAGGTGTAGCATCTCCTGTAAGAAACAAGACATCACTTCTAAATTTAGGTGCAGCTCATATCAAAAAGGGCTGCGTCCCCACAATACTCATTCCCACCTTATAAGGTACTTATTTTCCCCCAAACACTAGTGTAACAAGGGCCAGTCTGGCACTCGGGCAGACGTGTGATTTTCTAAGCCGGATCTCTTCTTGACCCCTTTCTCACATCTTCCTCCCGCCGGCCAGTACAGGAACACCCCCCAGGCCACACCACCGGTCCAAAAGTAGCGATCAAAGCCAGTGACAATGCAGACTCGACGACTCACTCAGACGTACAGCTGACTGGCAGCCATATTAATGAACAGACAATGCAGGGCCGTCCACAGACCTGTTTACCAGTTTTACCAGGTAAATGGTACGATTGCCACACAGTACAAATGAAAAGGAAAACCATGAGGGCCAACTACACCTCTACAGGAAGCAAGTTACTCCTCAATTATTGATCTCATCCATCAATAAACTGCATGTCTGGAATTAATACTTTATTGAAATCAAAGCTCCTTTATTGAAGAGGGCTGTCTACATAAGTAGATCGAGTTCACAATGTCTAAGAGGAATGTCAGCATCCACATGAATGACCCTACATAACACGTTATGCAACCAAACTCCAGTGGAGACCCCGAAACATCTGC